AGAGTTTCGCAGCAGCGGCGTCTGTGGGCCGGAAAGGGGCACCGCAGACTGGGAGCGCGTAGGACGACACGTACCTACGCGAACCTTATCGGAGAGAAGGCGTTTGATCCGGAAGGAGGACGGAAAGGGGCGCTGTATCCTGCAGTGTGGCCACTGGGGGCACCGACGTACAGAGTGTCACAGCAACCACATATCCTCCATGGTCGGAGAGAGAGCGCTTGATCCGGATGGACACACCCAACCGAGGTTGACACGCGCGACAGCGCGCGGGTGGGTGGGAGCCGAGTCACGCGTGGAGCGGGCGGTTCTTTTCAACCACAGCACGGACGCAGGGGCCGTGGCTGTCCTGCCTTGCCATCGGAGCAGGGGGGGTGGCAGTGTTGAGTCGCGCGGACGTGGCGCGCAACCCATCAGCCGGAGAAGGGGCGTTGGGACGGGGCACAGCAGATCGGCGGTGTCATCTACGAAGTCGCGTGGGGAGGTGCCGCGCGCATTTCATCACCCGAAGGAAGCAAGAAGGACTAAATAGCTGCGCGGCACGACGCGGGCACTGCTGAATTCTGGTTGGTACCGGAATTTGTTGTTTCGTTTGTGAGTGGATTTTGTGCAAGAACAGCGTTTACATTTTTTCTTTCACGGAAGAGTCGCAGGAGAAGCGCTTTCTGACGGTTTGAAGAGATCGCTTGTTTGTTGACCCTTGTTTGTTGCCGTGTGGGAAAATACAGGGTCATACGTTGCCCACCGTCCACACACACGAGTTTCACAGAGTCACCGTTGTTTTGCGTACCTGAGGTGGTTGCAGAATAAGGGAGGGTGACGACTTGCGTGTGTCTTTTGTTTTGTTTCGGAGAGTTTAAACGCTCGGAGAGCTACGCCCGGTCTGTGGATATTCCGCAACCACACAGATTTGTGTTGTGGACAGATTTGCAGTTGTTTCTGAGGTGAAACCATTTCGGTCTGGAAACCATTTCGGTCTGCGGATATTTGATGGCGGCGGGCGTTGGTGAGGTTCACTTGGTCGTGTTGCCACGTACGGAGCATGTTGTGTCATGTGTCTGTTTTGTTCGACAAATTCTGGAATGATGACCGTGTGTACTTCTAGGGCGGTCAGCTGGCTGAGTAGTCTAGTTGGTAAGACCTTCTGACGTATCCGTGACGTTGAATGTCACTACGACTCCCCTTCGCTTTGTTCCGAGTTTCAAAGGAAGGAGAGCGCCTGCCCGGGGTGGGTAGAGAGCGCGTCAATTTGAAGATCACTAGGAGTCGCCTTACTTTGTTCCGAGTTTCAAAGAAAGGAAAGCGCCTGCCCGGGGTGGGTAGAGAGCGCACGTTGAATGGCACACTAGAGAGGGCGTATAGAGCCGTCCCCAACTACTAGGCAGCGTGATGCGCACGAGAGGGATAAAGGCCCAGATTATCGGCGTTTGGTTGATTGACAGACAGTGGTAGATGCTTGTGGTGGTTACGGTGACCAGGTACGTAGTACGACCTCACTGCAGGGGTGATGATGATATCGACTTGTTTCGTACGTGTTTGCCATGTTGGGCGGGAAGGCCATTGGTTTTGATCAACGCATTCTTCATTGCAGAACTGCAGATTGACGCATCCTTGGTTGGAGGAGAATTCATGATGTGTTGAGTTTGAAGACCTTGGAGCCTTGTTGAGACCAGAAGATTCGCAAATATGTTGAACCAGTTAAATTTGAAGCAGGGTTTTCTCTGGTGGTGTTGAATTCTGAGAGGATGTGGATTGATTGGTTGATCCGAAAACAGGGAGAACGTACCTGTCACAGGGAGAACGTACCTGTCTCAGGGAGAACGTACCTGTCTGACGAGTTTTGGCGCGGAATGCAGTTAGTCAGGGAGGGCGTTGACTGTATGAGCGTGATAGCTACAGTCAGTTTTGTTAGTGCTGCACACGGAGGACCATTCGCCCGCGCGTTCGGTGGTTATGTTGTCTTGCCTTGGTCTTGCAGTACGGCCGTTGGAATCATCGGTGGTATGAACGGCTTGTTTGATTTCGTTTGAGGCGTTGGATTTCGAGGGGTTTTGATCCGGTGGCCGGGTTTCCCCTTGGTATTTTTGGTTTTCATTGTGATCGGTATTTTCAGATGCGTTTCCGACGCACGAGAGGTTCTCCACTGGCGTAAAGAACCAGGGAGGGTGTTCGTGCGTGGAAGTAGTAGGCCGAGAGTAGCCGTTACGTATGACGCAGATAGAATGTACCTGTAGGGGTATGTGGTTGAGAGACTCTGGATGCGACTGCGAAGCCCCGTTTCTGGAAGTTTTGGGGCACTCTTCTCTCTCCCCTCTGGGTGCTTCTCTTCTCCTCTGCTCCGCGTGCGTGGCTAATACAAGATAAACCTATCTCCCCCTTCCAAGTAACGGACATATACGAATACATGTAATGCGGACCAAAAACAAAAAGATTGTTCTCACCTCTTCTTGCTGCTGCATACATTCGGCACTACTGTCGGCAGAAAGGGAGCTTTGGCCACCGCTTCCGGTTGCCTCAGTGTGCCGCTCTTGTTTGCGTCGCACACTACTCTTTCTTGTCCTTGCCACGGTGTAATGTGAATTTCGGGAAAATGAGTGGGGCTCCGCAATTTATATTTGCGTACCTCCAAAAACAATCTACGATACCCCGATCTTCACCACCGGTGCCCACACACCCACTCTTCAATCCTCTGCCCACCCGCATCACGCAACAGCACAAGATCCTCCCACAACTACCCAGCTGAGCCGGATTGTTCGCCGGGGGGCACCTTACGCACAGGTGGGGAGAGTAGCGTTGGATCTTCTGTCTCTCTCTCGCTTCTCCTATCACACGCCTCGTCTGTTCGACCTAAATCTCGCACGCCTTCTCCTGCAGTCTTCATAGCTTCGGGAGTAGGGCTACGTGTGTACAGCCTGGAGATCCATGCCCTGGTCTCGTTTGGGTGTGATGTGCTGGTTGAATAGAACACACGTCGCGGACAGAAAACAAAGCCGGCTCACATCTACTGCTGGCTGTCCACCTACCTGCTGCAAGGCCCCCTCTTTGGTGTGTTCACTCGTGTTGTAGCAATGTTCGCTGGGGGCCACCTTGCGCACAGGTGGGGAGAGTAGCATTCGATCTTCTCTCTCTCTCTCTTTCTCTCTCTCCTCCCACACGCCTCGTGCCTCGACCTAAATCGCGAACGCCTTCTCCTAAGTCTACATAGGGAGTAGGGCTACTTGTGGACAGCCTGGCGATCCACAGCCTGGCCGCGTTTGGGTGTGATGCGATGGTCGAATAGAACACACGTTGCGACAGAAAACAAAGCCTTAACGGCTCACATCTACTGCCCCCTCTTTGGTGTGTTTGCTCGAAGTGCTGCAGCAGTTTATGGTTTCGCGTGTTCAACGAAGCTATCCTTCCCACACACGAGGTTATAAGCTTTGAAAACGGGGTATTTTATGGGCGAAGATCGGACGGGTAAAATATTCTTCCTTCAATATCCTGGTATCCATACACGGAGTATTTTTTTATCCGCTCTCTGCGGACCGCGCCACTGCTTCCATGAACACCACCCCCGCTCGCTAACAACCCACGGTCTCCTCCCTCTCTTCACTCGGCAGGATGGATCGTCATCTCGAGAAGATTGGTCAAGCTCCGTGCAACGACGATACTGGTGTTTGTAGATCTTTTTTCACACCTGTGAAATGTGGTATGCCTTGCGTTCTGGGTATCCTCTCGAAAAAAAGAAGTTCGTCTCTTTCTCCTCTGTCTACCTCGGAAAGGGCGGGGACTAATTCGGTGCCAAGCAATCTCCGGTTTGCGATGCGTACTCGATGTCCGTTCCTTGAAGACTTGCTTTATTTTTGAGATGGTGTTGGTAGGGAAATCATGCCCCTAAGCTTTTACTTAGTCTTGCTGTGTAATGCACAACGTTTCACCCCATATCTTAACCTTGTCTGATCGAGCGGCAGTAAGAAGGGAGTTGATTACATGGGTCACTCGGCGCAGTTCCATTTATGGATCCGTTTCGTCGTTGACGTGGCCCCGATCAGTATCAGACTAGAGCTATGGTACAGGCTCCCAGCTCTGCCGTCGCTCGTTCGGACAAAGTTTAGACATGCGTTCAACCTTGTGCATTACACAGCTCTTTAGGTAGTCGTGCGAGCAAACAAACACTTGACCGAACTCTTGGAAAAAACTAGATATTTTAACGGGCGCGAGAAGCTCAGTCCGTTGAAAGATCGAGTATGAGTGCGCCGTAGCCCCCCTCGCGCGGGGCTCAGCCTCTCGAGTGACGTCTTGCGTTGGTGCGCTTTGCTAGGTTGTCGTTGGCGACACCGCTTTTTGGGTGTTGTTTTAGCGATCGAGACGACGCCAGCTACATGTGGATCGAGCCGGGATGTACGAGATCGCGCGAGCGAGGAGGACGAGAGCGCCGCGACAACGGCGACGACGGCTGTGGCTGGCTGCGCACCTGCTTCTGGGTTTGGTTTGTGTTAGAATTAGAGTATTCCCTTGGTGGTGTAACTTGTTGATGCAATGCGACGGCCCGTACATACGCATGATTGAAACACACAAGAAATATGCCAGCATTTTGTTCAAATTATGTCAAGAATCATAGTCGCTTCACCAATGTGACCGAAACAGATTTCTGTGGCTGGTCAGACTGTGTGGGGCAGGTCCAAACATCGCAGGAAGAAGATATAACCTATCTTCACCATTGCCTGCAACGCGCGGACCCAGCACTTGTTTCTTGGTATGATGCGACAAAATCTTCATTTTTTTCTCGGTGTTTTCATGCCTCCAGACAATGTAGTTATTGTCTTTCTTGTTGTCGAGCGTTGTTTTCGTGTCGACTGTTCGATGCACAGTACTTGACCCATATCTTTGGTTCTCGAGGGGTGTCTCGGTGCATTGTGGTTCTGCTCTGGCTGAGTGCGACACTCAGACCATGTTCTGTTTGTCAATATTCAAGGTTGAGTTCGTTCCTGCGTGCCGCCGAGACTCGTTGTGAGAATAAGAGCTCTGTGACTTTTGAAAAGTGATATTCGAATAGCCCCATTTCTATCAGCTTTTAGCTTTTCAAAGCGCAACATTCGACTCCTGTGTTTTTGCTTCTAAAAGAGCGACATCTTTTTCCGAGAGAAAAGGGTACTTGGCGAACGGTTGTGGTGCTGCTCTGGTGGCGTGAGACACTCAGGCCAGGTCCTGTTTGTCAATATTCAAAGCTGAGTTCGTTCCCCCGTTCTGTTGAGACTCGAGTGGGAAGAGCAAGAGACAAGAGTTGATTTATGTACTTTGAAAAGATCTCCGTCTGTAGTGGTGGTGATTTTCTCCATCATCCGCATGAAAGCGCTTGTTTTGTTGTTTTGTGCTCTCTGTGGAGGTTCCGGGACCACCCTTGGGGGAAGACTGGGCTAGCATGGCGTGCTTGTCTTGTTGTTTTGTTGTTTTTGGCACTCTGTGTATGAACCACCCTTGGCGAAGGACTGGGCTAGCATGGCGTGCTTGTTTTGTTGTTTTTGCACTCTGTATGAACCACCCTTGGTGGAGGACTGGGCTAGCATGGCGTGCTTGTTTTGTTGTTTTTGCTTGTCTCCGATGTGCCTTTTTTTGCCGTGTCCCCTTTTGTGTTTCTTTCCTGCACGTTTCGTGCGTGTATCTCCCCTACCTCTCCTACCATTATAAGATTTTTTCCAGTCTTGTGATCGATTGCTACGCCCATGCACTGGGTGTGCCATGTTCCAACAGCACACATATGTGATTGCTGTGCGCGGGGGAATGCGTCCCTGCTTCCAGCTGCTGCAGTTGTCCTTGAAAAGAAAATCCAAAATATTCAAATGTCGACAAGTTTTACCCCGGATGCAGCTTGCCACACGTCAACTGCATTCATGCTTTATCTTCTTGCGTATTGACCGCCTTCGTCATGGAAGCGTTTTGCGCTACTGTATGCCGACAGCCACTTTAAAATGTTAGTTACAGGCCGAGAAGTGGGGATACCAATGTTGGCCGGATGTTCCTGGGGCGGGTTCCGAGCTAAAGCCGAATTTATTTGGGGGGGGGGGGGAACGGATCGTCACCATCCCCCCCCCTGTCTTCGAAAAAATTATCCCATGATCCTTGGCCATAATGATGATGCTGTGCAAAATTTGAAAATCAAACTCGTTCATCTTACCCGGGTTTCAACACACTTTACCTATATCAGGCGGCTAAAAAATGAAAACGCAAAACCCGGGGATGGCCGCTAAATATCCCCGGGTTTGAAAAGTGCTCCGATCGATCTGAAATTTTCAGG